TTTAGTAAATCGCTCATAAATAAAAGCTGCTGTCCTACAGAGTTTCTGTGTTTTGTACAGTTGTGCAGATCACTGCCACTTTTGCTGATAATAACAGAGCCCGTGGTCACAATTTTATTATCATTTGTTGTGCAAATGTTGTTTGTTGTGTTGTTCCTCTGAGTTATGTGACCGTCAGCTACATTTTATATTCTTAATTTAATATTCTTCCAGTTTAATTTAATATTTTTCTTCAGGTGCTGTTAAAACCTAGAAGTGGACTTTAAAATTTGTTTTACTGTGTTAGGCTGTTTTTTCGTGTTAGAATAAAGGAGTTTTTTCAGTACAATTCTGTCTCACACAGTCAGAAATCCTCTGACGTTCATCTAATATTTCAGCTGTTGCACTGATATGGTTAAAATGGACATGATGTGTCCAGACCGCTCTCGGCCTGTGGGACTAATCAAAGAGAGACTGAGATTAATTGCACATTGATTCATTCCTGGTATCAGAAAGGCAGATTTCTTACCCAAGGGATATTTGGGTTTCATGCATTTTGTCCTCTTCAGTACCTCGTAGACCTGACCGTTAAACAACAAGAAAGAAAACTGTAGCAATAATGCAGTTTCTATCTGTGAGGATGAGGAGTGAACATTTAACACAAGACAAAGCAGGGAACTGGGAACCTTATAATCATAAGCCAAACAATTATTTCTTTATTTTGACATGTAATTGAATCAATATCTACAGAGTTAACTCTTCAACCATCCAGCTACTAAAACAAACACTCACTATGGAGCTCCGAGTCTTGCTGTCAAAGAACTTGTTCTTGTCAGAGAGATCAAATCTGATAAAAGAAAACAACACAGATGAGTTACAGATGCAAAGAAACACTTGTGGCATGTTTGTGAGATGTGCGTCTATAGATGCAGGAAAAGAAAAACATACAGGAAGTCTGAATTGAGAGAATCCGTTATAATTCCAATATTAGACAGGAATTCCACAAAGCTATTCCCCATTGTAGTGGCAATTCCTTTTGTTTGACAAACCAAACATCC